AGAGCTCCCAGCTCTCTGACAAGCCCACCTAAACAGACCCTTTGCGATGCAAATTTACTATTTTACCAGATCAAGAAAATGAAGTTCAGGGCAAGAGGCTCTGGGGGTGGGAGCTTGCCCAATGTCACAGCTACACCTGGTGACGCAGGACTCTGGGGACTGTCTCGGGGCAAAATCTCCAACTCTTCATCACTACCTCTGTCTTGGGAGAACGCTCCTTTCTTCACCTTTGCACCGCGCAGGCTGAGCCAGGGAGACCTGGGTTCGAGTTGCCCAGGGGCTCAGGCCTCGGGGCTCAGGCCTCGGGGCTCGGGCCTCGGTTTCCTGGTCTGTGAGCTGAAGGTGAAGGAACGTGCTGCTAACATTGGCAGTTCCCTCGTCCTGTGCCGGCCCGCGCTGAGCACTGTACATGTACAAACCCCTTAATTCTCACAACTTCTGTAGAGTCAGGTGCAATTACTGTCAGGTGCAATTTACAGGCTAGAAAACAGAGACATGGAGAAGAGAAATAATGGGCCACCTGCTTTTCAAAGGTCCCATGGGGACTCAAGATAACACAAGTAAATACCAGGCACAGGGCAGTTCAGTGGTATGGCTCCACCAAGCACCAGCTGTGTGACCCTGGGCAGGTTACCTAACTTCTCTGAGCGGCAGACATGCAAGTGTGCTGTGAGGATGAATTGAAGGCATTGGGCACATGGCAGGAGTCATTATTTATCACCATCAGCATCATTGGCGGTAGCAAATCTGTCTTCTGAAAGTGGATTTAATTTTAGCAGACAGGTTAAATTCACATGGAATTGAGTCTGGTGACTGATGCCAGTGATCAAGTTGAGAAATGTTAGTTTTAGACCAAAACAATTATAGAGCCCCAAGCCTAGTTTTCTTGGGAGAAAGGCCTGGTGTACTGGTGTCAGATTAGAAGCTACTAGAGGTTATCTGTGTCAGGGTCATGCGGGAGGCAACCAATCGATGTGTCCCTCTCACATCAATGTTTCTCTCTCTCTCCCTCTCCTTCCCACTCTATATGAAGATAAATAGAAGAATCGTCAGATGAGAATTAAAAAAAAAAGTAATTGCATTCAAGTATACAAAATTTGAATACATTCTCCTCGAAAATAACAAAAACAAATGTTGAAAGATTTTTAAATTAAAATTATTTTTCACGTTTTCAAAAATGACTTTCTACACTTGCTTTTAGCCAAAGGCCAAGAAGCAATAACAGTAACTTTTCTTTTTTCTTTTTTTTTTATCCTCACCCGAGGACTTTTTTCCATTTTTTGTACAGATAGAGTGGGAGGGAGAGAGAGGAAGAGAGAGAGAGGGAAACATCGATGTGAAAGGGACACATCGAGTGGCTGCCACCCGCACGACCAACCAGGGCCGGGGACAAACTGCAACCGAGGTACATGCCCTTAGCGGGAACCGAACCCGGGTCTCTCCGGACCGCAGGCGGACGCTCCAACCGCTGAGCCAAACCGGCCAGGGCGTGACTTCTCTAATAGATTCAAAATTATGCATTAAAATTAAAAGGCAGGCCCGGCCGGTGTGGCTCAGTGGCTGAGCCCCGACCCATGCACCAAGAGGTCGCCCGTTCAATTCCCAGTCAGGGCACATGCCCAGGTTGTGGGCCTGATCCCCAGTGGGGGGCATGCAGGAGGTGGCCAATAGAAGTTCTCTCTCATCGATGTTTCTATCTCTCTCTCCCTCTTCCTTCCTCTCTCTCTAAATCAATAAAGAAAAAATATATAAATATAATAAAATTAAAGACAAATACAGTTTATAATTAATAAATATCAAAAACTTAACCAAATATAAATGGTTTGGGAAATGTAATTCCATCTTATTAAATATTTTTAGAACTAGTTCCAAAATAGCATCCAATGCCCCGTTCAGTGCCAGGATGGAGAACTGCTACGGTGCTTCACACGGTATGTCCGACCTCCATACTGAACAGTACTGTGAGCAGGTTAACCTGGTAAAATGCCCCTTGCCGGCCATGTGCACTGTTGTGAATACCGTGCTAATTCATGAGAACCTTCAAAACACAGACGAAGCAAGAAAATAGACACTTGTTATACAAGTATCTTCCACATCCGTGCAACCCAAGAGGAAAGGTCTGAGAAATGAATTTATCTTCTTTCACTTAAGAGCTTCTCCTCCCCACAATCCAAAGCTGTGTCCATCCCTGCCGTCCAGGGCAGACAGACAAGTTTGGTTTGGAGAACCGTGGGCAGGAGGTGTTCCCTGGGGCCTGGCAGTGTTAGGATGTCAACCTTTAGGGTCACACTCTACAAAGTCAGTGCTGAGCGCCCCTCCCGCCCCCCACACCTGTGGTTCTTAGTTATGTATTTGTTTGGATTTCAGATCCTCAGGGCCACTCGTCCCGGTCAAGGCGGAGGCACTGCTCCGTGGGGTGCCGCTGCTCCACGGGGTACCACTACTCCATGGGGTACCACTGCTCCATGGGGTACCACTGCTCCGTGGGGTGTCACTGCTCCGTGGGGTGCCACTGCTCCATGGGGTGCCACTGCTCCATGGGGTGCCACTGCTCCGTGGGGTGCCACTGCTCCACGGGGTGCCACTGCTCCACGGGGTGTCACTGCTCCATGAGGTGTCACTGCTCCATGGGGTACCACTGCTCCGTGGGGTGCCACTGCTCCATGGGGTGTCACTGCTCCATGGGGTACCACTACTCCATGGGGTACCACTACTCCATGGGGTGCCACTGCTCCATGGGGTGCCACTGCTCCACAGGGTACTACTACTCCGTGGGGTGCCACTGCTCCATGGGGTACCACTGCTCCGTGGGGTGCCACTACTCCGTGGGGTGCCACTGCTCCACGGGGTGCCGCTGCTCCACAGGGTACTACTACTCCGTGGGGTGCCACTGCTCCATGGGGTACCACTGCTCCGTGGGGTGCCACTGCTCCACGGGGTGCCACTACTCCATGGGGTGCCACTGCTCCATGGGGTGTCACTGCTCCATGAGGTGTCACTGCTCCATGGCGCCAAGTTCTTTGCTGCCTAGAAACATTTTGCAAAAGCTGTGCCTTAAGCCTGGACATTCTCTTTCCCATCTTTGAAATCCTTCAGGTCTTGATTTAAAAATTCCCTCTCAGTCAGCTTTGTCTTCTAAATCCAGACTGGGTCCCTCCTGCTATTCTTATGGACTCCAGTTCTTTCCCTTTGGCATGTATTACAATTACTAATTAGATCATTATGACTAAGTGTGTATTTCTGTCTTTACTATCTTTGTCACAAGAATGTGAGCTCCGTGAGAGCAAGGACCACATCCTTTTGTCTGTCACTGAGTGATCAGTGACTGGCACATGGTGGGTGCCCAGGAAATATCTGTTGACCAACTTCCAGCTGTGAGTTTCCTCGCCTTTCATACCAGTGTTAATGTCTACTTCATAAACATTATTCTGAGGGTGGCGGGAGATGGCAGCAAGGGGCCCGGCACCCAGTAGGTGGTCAATAAATGCCGTCAGTATTACTGTACATTCAGAGGCACCTGAGGACCGAAGGATCTGGGAGGAGGGGGGTGAGAATGCCACAGAGCTGGTAGGGGTTGTGGGGTGGCACGGGCCTTCCGAGGAGGCGGGCTGGAACAGAGGCGCGCAGGAGGGCAAGGAAGGAGGCAGCAGTAAGCCTGAGGCACCCCTGCCCTTAGAATGGCACAGTGGGGCCAGATCAGGGAGAGCCTTGAGCGCCAACCCAGCACGTTTAAACTTGAGCGTCAGGCAGTGTGGAGCCAGTGAGTGCTTTTGAGCAGAGATGCCCACTGAAGGAGTGGCAGCTAGAAAGGTTAATTATGCAAGTCTGGCTCAGGTGGACCAGGGAAGTGAAGAAAGACAAAAAGCCTGACCCTTTCATTCAATCCCCCTCTCATCCTGTAAGTACAAGATGTGCAGAGGTTAGAGGCAAAGCCTGACCATCTGGATTCCAGCCCTGGCTCAGCCACTCTGATCGGCTGACACTGAGCAAGTCCGTTTCTCTCCCGGGCCTCGATTTCTCCACCTGTAAAATAGAGGTAATCTCCACCCTATCTCACGGGACTCTAGTAATAAAGATGCTTCATTAATTCCCTCTCTCAAAACAATGAACCCCAGTCGTGTGTCAGTTTGCGCTGGAAATGCTGGCCAGACAGACTGAGTGGAAGCGCTGGGGGGGACAGAGCACCAAGCGCTGAGCGCTCCCCGCGTGGTCCGCCTGCCATCTCCTTCAGTCCGCAGGCGCTCCTACTAGGTTGGTCCTGGTATCAGACCCATTTTACAAATGACAAACCAAGGCCAGAGAGGCTCAGTCACTCGGGGACGGTCAGCTTTTAAGTGGCAGAGCGCAGGGCTTGGCCTCAGGGGTGACCATGGCAGAGATGACAGACCTTTGCACACATCTGGCCATTTCCAGCCACCAAGCCTTTATCTGTTCCCTTTGCCAGAGCCCTCTGCTCCTCTGCCTGTGGGGCGTCGCCTCTGGGCTTCGCAGCCCTTGACCAACCCTCTCCCTGGATGTCAATCACACCAACACTACACCTCTGGTCTCTAAACTTTTAAAGACGCATGTCCCCATCAGTAAAATGTATTTAAGTGTACAGCCCCCTCACAGGCATATTTCTTTACAAAGTATACACCTACTTCTGTCAATCCATATGTATTAAATATTAGTAAGTTCTAGTTCTTATTGTTTTATGAAAAATAAAGATACAGGAATTGATCTAATACTTTCTTCCCACACCCCTTTCACCACTGACAAATTACAAATCTGTAACTAACTCAAAGCTGCCGGTGGGGGTCTGGCACAGTGATGACGTCCTCCTCCTGTTGCAGTTCTGACAAAAAGTTGGGGATTCAGCCTCTTCCCTCGTTAGCCTGGGCCCCATGGGTGCAGGGGTGGGAGGCAGGGCACCCTCACAGGGCTGCCGCCCCCCCCCCCCCCGCCAGGGGAGGTGCGGTGGAGTTGAGCCCGGATTAGCGGGGCAGCGGGGGGCCGGAGCTGCAGGGCGGCCACAGAGGGGGTGTGGGTAGGGACCGCGCCATGCCGCTGCAGGACGACACCCTCCGGGAGGTGTGGGCCTCCGACAGGTGCGGAAGGTCCCCCGCTGCCCACCTGGACCCTGGGGGACCCAGAGGGAGGGGTTGAGAGGGGCAGGAAAAGGGGAGGGAGACGGACTGATTCCTTTGCCACCCACAGCGGGCATGAGGAAGGCGGGAGCCCCGAGGTCCAGCGGCGCCCCAAGCAGGTACGTCACCCCCACTTGGAAAGGAGGCAGAAAGATCCCCACACTGTAAACCGACGCAGGGTAGGGGATGTGGGAGGGGGCAAGACCCTTCAGCAGCGTCGGGGCGGGGGCGGGGGCGGGGGGGGGGGCTTCCCTGGAGTTGTTTTATTTCGTTTTGAGGATAGTGGCATTTGGGGACATGGAGTATCCAGGGGAGGATTTCGGGCTTTGGGGCATCGGAGGCAGCCGCGATGCGTGGGAGGGGTCACTCTTCCTCACCCCGAGAAGAAGGCTGCAGCCCCTCCTGCTAATCAGCGGTTATTCCTGGCGGCTCAAGGGATTAGAGGGTGGCAGCCCTGGAGCCCCGTCTCCGGTCTCCTTCCTCTTCTTCCTCTTGACCTCTCTCCGCAGCGAGCCCGAGGACAGAAGTTAAAGAAGAGGACGGAGGCCCCTCATTCCCCCGGCCCGTCGGGGTCCCAGCCCAGGAGAGCTGGAGGCGGGCGGGGAGCGGAGCCCGGGGGCGCCCCCCAGGGTGAGGGCGGGGGGGGGGGGAGCGGGGGCGGCCCGGAGCTGGGACCAGGGGACCGGAGCGGGGAGCGGGGCAGAGGTGGGGTGCGGGTGGGGAGGGGTGAGGGCGTCGCGTCCACCGCCTGGGGCGCGGTCCGAGGGTGCGGCGCTGCCTGACCCGCGCGTGTCGGCTCAGCCGGGTGGACGGGGCGGCCGCGGGAGGAGCCCGCCCCGGAGACCGTCTACACCAGGTTCCTCAGGGACCCCGAGGCCAAGAAGCGCGACCCCCGAGAGACCTTCCTGGTAGCCGGAGCCCCGGGCGCGGAGGACGGTGAGAGGAGGCCCGACCCGAGGGCGGCGGCGGGTGGACAGGGACGCGGCCGCTTGGGGACAGCGGAACGGAGAGGCAGGCAGCTCGGAAGGACAGCCTCCACCTCTCTCAGCTGGTCTTTGAGCCAGAAAAAAACACACGTTATTTATTTATTTTTCGGTACATGCCCCTAGCGGAACCGGGCCGGGCCTCTCTGGTCCGCAGGCCGAGGCTCCAACCGCTGAGCCAAACCAGCCAGGGCGAAGCATTCGTTATTTTTGTCGTTTTTTCCCTCGTTTTCGGGGTGGGGAAACTGAGGCACAGAGAGGTTAAGAGTTTTGCCTTAAACTGTAGTTACAGCTACAGGCCAGAGGCAGCCGGGTGGGTCTGGCTCAAGCCCAGGAACTGCGCAGAGAGCGGTGGAGAAGGGGAGCCGGAGACGCGGGGATGGGGGGGATGGGAGAGAGAGAGAGAGAGAGAGAGAGAGAGAGAGAGAGAGAGCGCCTCATGAGAAGGGTATTTTCCCAGAACAGGACTGCCAAACCCCAGCATCCCACCTCCAGCCCACTCTCCGAAGACTTGGGGGTCACCCCATTCTTTAAGAAGTCACTTCTTTCTTCCGGTTGCTGTTCCAAAACGAAAGTCCCCCCCTGTCACTCACTCACCTCTTCCACCAACTGGAGGGGCAAAGCTCCCCGGATAATGCGCCCCACTTATGAGGATTTTCTACCTACAGAGGAGGAGGAGGAAGAAGAGGAGAGCAATGAAGATGAAGAGGAAGAAGAGGGGGGAAAGAAAGAGAAAATCCCTCTGCCTCCCAAGAAGCCCTCTAAAGAGAAGGCTTCTGCAGGCATCCAGGAGAGGAGGGCCAAGGCCCGGGGTCCAAAGGGTGGGTGTCCAGAGCATGGAGGGGAAGGCACACACAGGAAGAGCTAGCTGCCCTTCAGGGGTCTGGGTCTCACTGCTACAGAGGAGCTGAGACATCCAAGTTACCCAGCGCCTGCACCTGCTCCTTCCTTCTCCCCATGGTCCTTCGGGGAACAGATCAGCCTGTGTCCCCCCCTCCCCGCACCCCCATCCCCACCCCCTCCATCCCCCCACCCAAGATGCTCTGTGGGCCAGAGAAGTCAGAGAGTTGGGGGTTTCTTTCTGATTTTTCTTTAGTTCTTTCTAAAACCCAATACGAATGATTGTTAATTTACCTAACAGCATCAAAGTGATCACAGTAAAAATCAGTCAGTGAAAATATGCTGTGGTGGCTCCCTGGCCTGGGCACCTCATCCCTAGGTATCACGGTCTGGTCTAAATGTGCCCTTGTACTCAGGGTTGGAAAGGAGCCAAGCAGAAGGAGACTCTGTACTTTCTGGTCAGGGCTTTGGCCTCCCTGGGGACTGTCTAACCCCCACCTTTCATTTCCAGGGGGCCCAGGAAGCCCTGCACCCCCACCAAAACCTCTGCGCATTAAGAAGAAGGTGCCAGCAGGGGAAGGGTCCAAGACAAGAAAGACAAAGAAGAAAGGTGAGACTGGTGTCTGGAAGAACAAGGGACTCTGGGTGTGGTGGGGGTGTGACCCTTTCACGTGCACACGCAGGGTCTGGGGAAGCTGACAAGGACCCCTCAGTGAGCTTGGCCAGAGTGCAGAAGATCCCAGCAGCCTTGTTTCTGGTTGGGGACGATGGCCCAGCTGAGAAAGCTCTGAAGAAGAAAGGTGGGTGGCAGTCGCCTCTGGTGCCATGACATCAAGAGGCAGTCCTGGGGGTGGGGAGCTGGTCACGGTGGGTTCTAGAGTCAGAAGACTTGTGGGGGCATCTTGACCACCATTTTAACAGCTGTATGACCTCAGGCAGGTGTCTGACTTTCTAAGGCTCTGATGATAGTAATACAGGGTTACTCTCTTGTGGTTGGGGGAAGGGTCCGGGTGAGACATGGCTGTCAGAAACACTGCAAACCATGAAGTACTCCATCAGGGTTAAGAGGCTTATCCCTCTCTGTTCCAGGCATTCCCAAAGGCTCAGAAGAGGAGAGGAAGGAGGAAGAGGGCGAGGAGGAAGAAGTGGCAGCGGGGGCGACCAAGAACAGCAATCAGAAGGGCAAAGCGAAAGGAAAAGGCAAAAAGGTTGGATCTCAGGGGGGAAGGGGACTCAGATACCTACAGGGAGCAGAGGCAAGGGCCTGGTTTGGGGGACTAGAGTATGGGACCTCATGGGCTGGGGCCAAGAATCTTGGCTCCCCCTCTGGTGACAGAAGATGAGGACAAAGGGCACCAGACTCATGAGAGCAGAAGAGGCAGTTGCGGGGTCACCAGGTTGGCATTGACCACCCTGGGACTTTATGTCTTCTGGTCTCTAAGCCTCCCCTCTGCAACTAGAGCTACCCCCACAAGAAGAGACACATTTTCTGGCCCCTGAAGGTGGTACACACAGGCCAGCAGGCACATGTGTCCACACCCTTGGGCACACTGACAGATAGCCAGCTGTTCAAGGTGTTAAAATGTTTCCACCCTACTGCTCTGAACTTCCCAAGTGCTTTCTGCTACCCACCCAGGACCTCCCAACCTTCCAGCAACTAAAAGGTTAACACTGGCTATCAGGGGCCTCCAGGATCCTCCTCCAGGCCCACCAATGTCCATTCTGGATGGGCATTCTCCATGGGCAGAGCAGGTTGTTAAATGTTTTGAATATTGCTTTTACAAACTCGGGCACCAACATGCACAAACTCAAGTAAGCAGGAAAGAGAGATCTAACTGGAGAGAGAAAGTGATGAGGGTCTTTGAGAAACTGGTTTCCATGAGCGGACAGATTGCCATGAGGGCAAGGCCAGGGTCTTCACTATGTGGGTTTGTTCATTTGTTCAGGTGTGGTCAGGTCTTGGGGGCTGATTCACATTAGCCAAGATCACCAGATACTGATGTATAAACTGAAAGGGCAGTTTATTCTGTCCCAGGAGGAATAGAACTGAAGGCAGTACAGCCTCCTATACAGTAGGCCCTTGAAATTCACAGCAGTAGAAATGTTTGAATAGCTCTGGCTATATCCAGATCACATTCCAAAGATAGCCTTGTGATTCACAAGTTTTTCTGGAGCAACCTAGAGTGGAGAAGAGATGCTCACCTGCTGCAGGCTGAAGGCCCGCTGCAGCGTCACCTCACACACACTGCACACCCGCCCTCAGCAAAAATGCCCAAGCACAGCGCCCAGGCTCACAGAGCACTCGGCCCTCGCAGGCACTCTCCCAGGCTGGAGTCCCTTCTCTCCTCTGCTGGGAAAGGGAGGGTCTTCGCTCCCAGTATCTTAAGGGCTAAAACATGAGGGCAAAGGGCACCAGGTTTGTGGGAACAGAAGGTACGATGTAGGTCACCAGGCCAGGTCACCCTAGAATTTAATGCAAACAAATTGTTAGTTTTACCATGAGCAAAATGCACTTAGTCATTCATTATATTAACATGTGTTACCGTATAACAAACCACCCTAAAATGTATTAAAACAACAAAAATATATTTTCTTAATTTCCACGAGTCAGAAATGTAGGACCAGATTATCAGAGCAGTGCTGGCTCAGGGCCTTCTGAGGCTGCAGTCAGGGTGCATCTGGGTCTGCGGTCCTTCTGGAAGCTGGACGGAAGTGGAAGATCCACTGAAATGGTTCGCTGTCCTGGTTGTTGGCTGGAGGCCACTCACGGGGCTGCTCGAGTGTTCTTCTGACATCGCAGCCAACTTCTGCCAGAGCCCAGTGGCCAGAGAGAGGGGGGGACAGAGAGGAAGAGAAGCCACGGCATCTTTTGTGACTTAGCCTTAGAACTGACCACCCCATCACTTCTGCAGTAACTGTTGGTCACAAAGACCAACCCTGCTAGTGTGGGAGGGGACTGGGGTCAATTTCAGGAGGCAGGGACATTGGGGGCCATCTTGGAGGTCGGCTACTACATTGAGTATTTACTATATGCTCATGATAATAGTGGTAGCTTACACTTCTGCTGTGTTGTGTGCTTAGAACATCAATTTTTAACCCTTTTCATGTCACGGCACACAAACTAATTACTAAAATTCTGCAGCACACCAAACAATATATTATATATTTTGCTGATTTGAAAATAAAATTAGGCATAATTTTGATTCATACACACCAGGAGGCTATTTTTGTGTTGGCTGTTGTCACCTTTTAAATCTGAGGTCAGTGTCCCTGACTAAATAGTGAGGTAGTGCATGTTTTAAGAATTTTTGCATCACACTGGTTGAAACCCGCTGGCTTAGAACAGGGCAACTGATACCTTCAGCCTCACCTCCGTTCACCCCTGAGAGTGTACTTACAGGAAGGACGGTCTTTCTAAAGGCTCTGGATCCAGCCAGTGTGGCTCAGTGGATTCAGGGTCCTCCCGTGGCTGAGAGGTCGCCCATTCCCGGTCAGGGCACCTGCCTAGGTTGTGGGCTCCATCCCCAGTAGGGGGCGTGCAGGAGGCAGCCGATGGATATAGCTCTCACATTGATGTTTCTATCCCTCTCTCCCTTCCTCTCTCTCTAAAAAATCAATACAAATATATTTTTAAAAATAACAATAAAACAAAAAATGTTTTAAAAAAATAAAAATAAAGGCTCTGGATCTAGCAGAAAACTGGGCAGCATTAAATCCCAGCTTCACCTCTTACTAGCTATGTGAACTTGGGCAAGCCCCTTAATCTCTCTGAACCTCAGCTTCCTCATCTATAAAATGGGACAGTTAGTTAGCTCAGTGGATACTGTTAAGAGGAAAAAATTGGTTAGTTTTGAAAAATGCTTAGAACTATACCTGGCACATTGGTAAACTTTATAAGAGTGTTTGTTAAAGGTACAGACTAAATAAGTTCTGTCCCAGGGATTCACCCCCAGCCTACCTACTTTTTAGATGTAAAAACTGAGTCAGGGCACTTAGCAAACGGACAGGTAGTGGTGGAAGCAGGATTTACAAGCGAAATGACATGATAGTTAAGTGCAAGCCGCCCAGACCCCCCAGAGCCCCCAGAGCCTGCTGAGCTGCTGGGAAGCTGGGCCGGCCCCTCCAGCGGGCCTCTTTGTTCTCTCCCGCACAGAAAGCGGTGAGTGGCCCCGCCCGCCTGCTCAGCACTGGGGGCCTTCCGAGGGCAGGGGAGCTAGCGCTCTGGGGCTGACGCACCCTCTGCCCCCACCCAGAAGGAGGAGAGGGCCCCGTCCCCACCCGTGGAAGTGGGTGAGCCGCGGGAGTTTGTGCTCCGGCCTGCGCCCCAGGGCCGGACGGTGCGCTGCCGGCTGACGCGGGACAAGAAGGGTATGGATCGGGGCCTGTATCCCTCCTACTTCCTGCACCTGGACTCGGAGAAAAAGGTGGGTAGGGAGCAGGAGGGCGAGGGAAGGAGCCGGGACCCAGGCTGAGGGAGGGTCTGCGGCCAAGATGTGGGGAGGAGCTACAGGGCACCCGGGCGTTCTCCTGCCGCCGTCACCCACCCCCTTCGCCACCCGTCTTCTCTCTCACCTGTCGCCACCTCTCCCCAGGTGTTCCTCTTGGCTGGCAGGAAACGGAAACGGAGCAAGACAGCCAATTACCTCATGTCCAGCGACCCTACCAATCTGTCCCGAGGAGGGGAGAACTTTGTTGGGAAGCTGAGGTGGGGCTGGGGGGATCCGGGCAGCAAGAGGGCCATGGCCGGCCTTCTCTGCCCCCTGTGTCTGCAGAGTGCCCACCACGTCGGACACTCTGGCCCGGGGCTTCTCGCACGTTATATGGACCATGGGGACCTGGTTAAAGTGGTTCAGTGGGCCTGGGGTGGGGTGGGGGGGACGTTTGCAGTCCTGCAACCACCCGGGTGATGCCCACACTGCTCCCCCAGGGACCTCACTTGGAGTAGAGGCTGAGTCCCACAGGCAGGACCTGGCTGGTTCAGGTTGTGTTCCTAGCACCTGCACACAGTTGCTACTCAACAAATATTTACTAAGTGAATAAATGAACAAATACTTGGCACCTACCCTGTGCTATGTCTCCCCATATATCTCATCTAATCCTCACCACAAATCAGAGAGGTGGGGGCCAGACCCCTGAGTCAAGCCTTACTTCTTTTATGTATTTAACAAACATTTACATAAGACCTGTCTATGTGTCAAGCATAGTTCTAAGTTACTTTCAAATTATAACCCATTTAATCCTCTTGTCACAAATTAAATGAGGTAAATACTGTTCTTATACCCATTTTGCAGATGAGGAAGTTGAGGCTCAGATCAGTTAAGTAACTTGCCAAAGGTCACACAGTAAGAAATGGAACTGGAATTTGAACGCTGCCTGGGGCAAGGGACACGAATTGATCAGTCCTAAGACACTTTCACCCTCGATCAAGGAAGGAGCTCATCAAATTGCTTGGCTGGGAGGGTCTTGGAATAGGGGCGTGGGATCCCCTTAGCCCCGTCCCCAGCTCCACCCTGCTTGCAGGTCCAACCTCCTGGGGAACCGTTTTACCGTCTTTGACAGCGGGCAGAACCCGCACCGCGGAGGCAGCGCTGATGTGGGGAGTCTTCGGCAGGAGCTGGCAGCTGTGATCTATGTGAGGTTCCACCTGTCCCCGGGGCAGGCCCCTCCCCTTGCAGGGGCTGGCCTAAAGCGCATCTCCCTCCCAGGAAACCAACGTGCTGGGCTTCCGAGGTCCCCGGCGCATGACGGTCATCATTCCGGGCATGAATGCTGACAACGAGAGGGTCCCCATCCGGCCCCGAAATGTGAGCCTTGCACCTCCCAGACCCCTCTCCCTCAAGGTCCTACTCCCTAGGTCACTCACTCCGGTGGAGCTGGGGCGGCGGGAGGGAGGAGTGAGCTGGTCCAACACCCACCTCTTGAGCACATTCCACCCTGCAGTGCAAATTCATTCTGGCAACTTGTGGAATGAATTTGAGGTTTTTGTAATTGAATTCACTGAGACAAGCATAATGGTTTGGGTGTTTGTTTGTTTGTTTTCTTTATTGATTTTAGAGAGAGAGGAAGGGAAAGGGAGAAAGAGATAGAAACATCGATAAGAGAGAACATCGATTGGCCGCCTCCTGCACGCCCCCCACTGGGGATCAGGCCCACAGCCTGGGCATGGGCCCTGACCGGGAATCGAATGGCAGCCTCCTGGTCCATAGGTCGACGCTCAACCACTGAGCCACACCGACCAGGCGTAATGGATTTTTTTCTTAAGTTTACACCAAATCATCCGTTTATATATTCAGTCAACACACACGTATTGAGTGTCATTATTCTAGGCACCTGGAAGACATCCGTGGCCAAAACAAAGATCTGCCCCCGTGAAGCTGGCATTCTGGGAGAGCAAGGCAGTAGATCATAATTGTGAGAAAGAAGTAAATTATATAGTATGTTAGAAAATGATAAGGGCTATGGGGAAAAAAGAAAAAGTTGGAAGGGGTTAGAGAGACGAGAAGTGTGTGTGTAGGTTTCAAGATTAAATACAGTGTTCAGAGTGGGCCTCAAATTGAAAAGTTGGTTTGGCCCTGGCTGGTTTGGATCAGCAGTGAGAGCATCAGCCCACAGACCAAAGGATCTTGGGTTTGATTTCCAGTCAAGGGCACATACCTTGGTTGCAGGTTCTATCCCCAGTTGGGGTCCTGCAGGAGGCAGCCATTTGATGTGTTTCTCTCACATCAATGTTTCTTTCTTTTTCTCTCCCTCCCTTCCACTCTATCTAAAAATAAATAAAGCCCTGGCCGGTTTGGCTCAGCGGTTAGAACATCGGCCTACGGTCCTGAGAGACCCGGGTTCGGTTCCCGCTAAGGGCATGTACCTCCGTTGCAGTTTGTCCCCGACCCTGGTTGGTCATGTGGGTGGCAGCCACTCAATGTGTCCCTTTCACGTCGATGTTTCTCTCTCTCTCCATCTCTCTCTCTCTCTCTCTCTCTCTCTATCTCTCTATCTCTCTATCTCTCTTCCTCTCTCTCCCTCCCACTCTATCTGTACAAAAAATGGAAAAATGTCCTCTGGTGAGGATAAAAAAATAAATAAAGAAATAATAAAGAAATAAAATAAATAAAAGCACTAATGTTGAGACCCTATTCCCAAACTTTTCTGATTCAGTTGGTCTGGGATGATATCTGGACATCAGTATTTATTTATTTATTTATTTATTTATTTATTTATTTATAGAGGAAGGAGAAAGGAAGAAGAAAGAAAGAAAGAAAGAAAGAAAGAAAGAAAGAAAGAAAGAAAGAAAGTTGAAGTTTGAGTAAAGTCTTGAAGGAGGTGAGGGAGCAAGCCTGCAGATATCTTGAAAAAGATCATCCAGGCAGAGGGAAGAGCCAGTGCAAAGGCCCTGAGGCGGGAAGGTGCCTGATGGGTTTGAGGAACAGCAGGTGGCCAGTGTGCCTAGAGGGGGAGGTGAGAGTGAGGGGCTGATAGGGCTTGTATAACTGGTTTTTACTGAGAGAAGCAGGAAGCCAGAGTAGGGTTTTGAGCAAAGGAGTGACATGATCTGACTTATATTTTAAAAGCAAATGTATGTGTGTGTGGGAGGGGGGTAAGATGGAGAGATGCCCTACAGAAAGGTGCTTTCTTCAGAGTCAGTCCCATGCTCTTCTCCTTAGCACTGAGGGTCAGTTGAGCCCAGGGTTTCAGACACAGAATGACTAGCATGGCCCATACTCACAGTGATGTCACTTTACTTATTTACAATGAAAAAATGATGTCCCGATGAGCTGACCACACATCATCCTTCCCTGCTGGAAACTCACGGTAATCAGGCCAGCCAACCCATGGGCCACCAGCCATGGAAGGTCCTGGTCTAGGGGATCCTGTGGGTCCCGCACTTGCTCCTTCCAGGCCTGGAATAAACACCCATGTCCCACAGAGGCAGTGTCTCCCGAGTATTTGGGCTCTGTAAGAACAACCCAGTGCTGCTTTGGGTCTCTCTTCCTCATCTCAGTTCATTCATTCTACAATCATTTATTAAAACCAGGCACTGGTGCCCTGGCTAGTTTGGCTCAGTGGTTGGAGTGTTGGCTGCAGACCAGAGAGTCCCAGGTTTGGTTCCCGCTAGGGGCACGTACCAAATAAATAAATAAACAAACATTTTTGCATATGTTACTAAAAAAAAAAAAACAAAAAACAAAAACCAGGCGCTGGAGCCCTGGACAGTTTTGCTCAGCAGTTGGAACACTGGCCCGTGGACCAAAGAATGGCGGGTTTGATTCTGGTCAAGGTCACATACCTTGGTTGTGGTTCAGTCTCCGACTCTGGTCGGGGTTGTGCAGGAGGCAGCCAATCGCTGTGTCTCTCTCACATTGATGTTTCTCTCTCTCTCTCTTTCTCTCTCTCCCTCCCACTCTATCTGAAGATAAATGGAAAAATATTCTTAGGCGAGGATTTAAAAAACAAAAAAACAGGCACTGGAGATCCAAAATCAACACAACAGTTACCATCAAAACCATATCTGATATTTATTGAGCATTTACTCTGTTATAGAACGATCTAAATAACACTTCATGTGCTAGTAACTTATTTAATCCTCATAACTGGGGGAAACTGAGGCACAGAGACATTACTCAAACATTGTGTCTGCCCTTAGAGTGTCTAACTCTGTCCTCTACAGTGCAGTGGGAGAAATAAGAGCAAGGTGTTATGGAAGCATAGAGCTAAGATAGTTAAATCCGACATGGGGTCAGGAAGGCTTCTTGGAGGATATGATCTTTTTTTTTTAAGATTTTTAAATTGATTTTTAGAGAGAGAGGGAGAGAGAGAGAAAAACATCAATGTGAAAGTGATACATCGATCAGCTGCCTCCTGCAATCCCACCATCTGGGATCTAGCCTGCAACCTGGGCATGTGCCCCTGACCACAGTCCCTCGATGCCCAGTCAGCTGAGCCACACCGGCCAGGGCAGGAGGACACGATCTTGAGTAGACTCACTCCAAGCCATGAACATGACAGGTGGCGAGGAAACTCGGGAAAGAAATATCTCAAGCCCTGGCTGGTTAGGCTCAGTGGCTGGAGCGTCAGCCCGCAGGCATAGGTCCGCAGGCCCTGTCCCCTGTCAGTCCTGAGATATCTTGCCCACCCCTAAATGTCCTCTCCCCAATATTTCCCCTGGCACCCCAGGCCAGTGATGGGTTGCTGGTACGCTGGCAGAACAAGACACTGGAGAGCCTCATTGAGCTGCACAACAAGCCACCTGTCTGGAATGAAGACAGTGGCTCCTACACCCTCAACTTCCAAGGCAGAGTCACACAGGCCTCGGTCAAGAACTTCCAGATTGTCCATGCTGATGACCGTGAGTATCTGAGGGTCTAGACCAGGCTGTTCCCCACCATCTTTAGGACCCCAACTTAGGCCTTTCCCCACCATCTCTCTCTCTCCCTGGAGCCAGAACATCTAGAAAGATTACTCTCTCCCCCAGGGGCATTGACACTGTGCTCCCAGGAGCCTCAGGTATTCCAAAGAGGTGTCTTGGGGCTCATTATTCCATGCCCTCAATTTTAGCATTGACCAGAGTACTGGGGTAGAAACTGGGATCTTCCAGGTAAGACTGTGTTGAAGGGAGAGTTAAGCTGCTGGAGTTTGAAAACCACTGATAACCCGACCCCTTTGTGGGTCAGGTGCTGAGATTCAGAGAAGGCAGCCCTTACCCAGTCTCTCATCTCCTTCATCTGTTACACTGGCCCTTTTACTCCACACTGAAACAGAACTTCTATGTGCCAGGCACTGTTCTCAGGCTTTACAGATATTGAATCATTAGATCTTTTCAACAACCCTGTGAAATAGGTACTCACTATTATTACCCCTATTTGGCAGATGAGAAAATGGAGGAACAGAGAGGTTCAGTAACTTGCCCAAAATCATACAACTAGTAAGAGGTAAAGCTGGAACTGGGACCTAGGTAGCCTGGATCCAGTGCCCAGGTTCTAACTCCTTTAGACCTTTAGGAGTAGGGAATATTAATCAAACATTTCTGCGTTCCTACTCTATTGTCTTCTCTCAGATGAGGCGAATGGCCTGCCCTTGAAGACTTAGGGGACACAAGATGTACCCATAATATAAATAAGTAAAAATGTCCATGTTACAAGCTTGGGGAGAGGTCCGCACTAGGGTAAGGAAGCTTGGGAAGGTATCTCCCAAGAGACTCAGGTTCCCAGGGCTAGCTAACACTGAGCAACTTCCCCATCCCCCACTAAATCCTAGAGATGTGCCCCCAGTGTCACCTGTCCCCCGGCCTTGGGTAACTACTCTCCAGATCACATTTCTGGTGGAGTCTAGTCTGATGAGGTTGGGGGTATTTTTAGCAACTTCCTGTCCCTATGGAGGCTGGGGGAGGTGTTGGGGGCTGAGTGAGGCCACTGGATGAGGAAGGGAACCAGGGAGTTAGTCATGGGCTTGAACCAGGGGGTTAGTCAGGTGGTCTAAAATGGGATTTGGGGTGGGTTGGGGGCATGGGGGAACGAGAATGGAGTCAGAAGACAACAGAAAAGTTGGCAAGGGAGGAATCTAAGTTTGGGGAAGTTTGACAGGTTCCTATACTTAAGTGGCGGTTGCATGCATAGCCCTGGGCAGCAGAAGATAAGGCAGAGTCCCTGTCCTCAGGGGCTTACAGTCTGATGGATGGTAAAGCTGCAGGTGGGGCAGGTGGGGTGAGATAAGGAGAGGGGGATGGGTGAAGGGTGAATAACTGAGAAGGTGGCTGAGTATCGGGCCAAAGCAAGGGAGAGAGACTTCCCCAATGCTGAGGGCATTGATTGCTAGGATGGGGACCTGGGAGGTCTCTGAACGCCCTCACCCTTGTGTTTGTCCATAGCTGACTATATCGTGCTGCAGTTCGGTCGCGTGGCCGAGGACGCCTTCACCCTAGACTACCGGTACCCGCTGTGCGCCCTGCAGGCCTTCGCTATCGCCCTCTCCAGTTTCGATGGGAAGCTAGCTTGCGAGTAACGCCAGCAGCCCCCAGCGTCCCCACAGCCCGCCAGGGTCGGGGAAAGGATTCAGTGGAGGCTTGCAGGGTTCCTTCACCAAAGCCCCCACTGAAGACTCCTCCTTTGTTGGGAGCTGACCCCTACTGTCTTCAGGTGACCTCCACCCACCCCCCCAGCCTGGCACAGGCCGAGGGAGGGGAGGAGCTCAGGCGGCGGGTCCGAAGCAGATGAAGAACATCTGGAGTTGGAGCCGCACATCTGGTCGCGGAGCTAGCCTGTGCCGCTTCACACACACACATGCACACACACTCCCCCCCCCCCCCCGCCCCAGTCACTTCCTGTCCAGGATCAGTAGTCAGTGTTGTTTTAACCCCCTCTGGGACCGTGCTAGGGCTCCGAGGAGCTGGAGCTGGCTCGGAGGAGGCAGTGGGTGATGGGGGACGAGGGCCGGGTACGCATATCCCCAATAAAGCCGCGTCCCAGGCCCAGCGGAGCAGTGGTTTCTCTGCGTGCGGAGGACGGGGCGGCGGGAGGGGTCCGGAGGGCGGGCTGGAGGCCTCCTTCCCCGCTCCCGCCCAGGCCCCCGGCGCTCCCGCGTCCCCTCCCGCGTGCCCATCGCCGGTCCTACCGAAACTCGGCGAGCTCGCCGTGTCAAGACGCCCCCCGCAGGGGCCCCGGGGAGCCGGGCCGAGAGGGAGGGCCCCGGAGGTCCGGGAAGAGGGGGAAAGGGAGAAATTCGAGAAACAAGCCTCTCGGGGAGAACCAGACAAACCGGGTCCGGGCAGGGCGGGCGCAGCCGCCAGGGCGGGGCCGGGTCTGGGCCCCCGGAGTGGGGGGCGGGCTCTTAGGCAGGAGAGGCAGCTCCGCCTCGGCGGCTCTGGACTGGGTTTGGGGGGTAGGGAACCCGGAGGCCCGGGCGTTCGGGCTCCACGGGGCTCCTCGTGACGCGGCACCCGGACCCCGACATCGAAGGGAGTCCGTTCTACAAGCCGGAGCTCCGCCCTCGGCCCCGCCCAGGCCGGAGCCCCAAATTCCGGTGGGGGACTGGGTTTAGGCCCGGCGTGCAGGGAAAGGTTGGGAGCGTGGCACCCGCGGGCGAGGAACCGGGCTCCCGGGCGCAGGCCGGCCGACAGCGGTCACGGGTAGCCTAGCCCGGGGTGGGCTCCTGGAGCACCCGGTGGGGGCGGGCCCGCGCGGCCCCGCCCCTCCCGGCTAGTGCCCGCCCCCCTGCGCGCCCCGCCCCCTCCTTCCCCACAGCCCCCACCCCCCGCCGGGCTCCTCAACACAAACTTTCCGTCCCGCTCGCTCCCTCCTCCGCGCCCAGCGCCTCCCGCTCCTGCCCGGCTCATTCCGCACATTCCGGCCAGCCCCCTCCCCACGACCCCCCTTCCCCGGCCCCCTCTCAACTCCCTCGGGCCCGGCGGAGCGGCCCGGCGGGAGCGCCCCCGCGAGCTCGGACCAGGTAAGCCGGGAGGACACCGGGAAGAGGCCCGGCTGGGAAAGGTGGGTGGTTGGTTGGTTGTGGATTTGGGAATGGGGGGCTACTCGAGGGAGGCTGTGTCCCCGAACTATTGTCCAGCATGAGCCGGAGCCCCGGATTTGGGTGCCGGGAAGTTTAGAGGGAAGGGGGGGAGCTCTCCGGGAAGCCCCGCCCACCCCTACCACCCCGCCGCGACCGGGATGAGTTTGTCCGGGGAGGTAAGGGAGCCGGGAGATCGTCCACGGTGCCATCGGCTGTCCCAACGTCCGCCTTTGGGGTGTCAAGGCTGGGGTCTGGGGGCCGCACGGTTGGGGGGGGTGGCCTGCCACGGAGGCGCTCGTACCCAGGGCGCCCAGTCCGGGCCCCGCTGCCCTTTGGACTCCAGGCTGGCGCTCTCCCGGAGCCCGCCCGGCCCCGGCTTCGCGCAGGCCGCGGGCCCGGCCTCCCGGCGCCCAGGCCGGCTCCTGCGCGCGGCGCCCGCGGCTACGCTAGATTGTGGAGGGTGTCTGGGAGCGGAGCTGCGCGCCCTGGGCGTGTGCCCCCTGAGACGCTGGGGCTCAAGTTCCCTCCAGTTCTGTCGCCTGTGTCAGGGTGGCGGTTAGGAGCTCCTGCCCGGAGCGCTGTGAGCTCCGCTCCAGAGGTGGCTGGATTTGGGGCCTTCTCTTCGACACACTTCCTCAGAGCCCTTGTTTAGACTTCACGTTCGAAGGCGGCTTGTCCTGCCCACCACCTCCACCACCATTGTCTGTCATGCCCTGTATTCCTGCCTGGGGAGGGAAGCGGGGACTACCTGTCTACGTCTGGTTTCCAGCCTAGCCAGACCCTGTCATTGAGACCCCACGCTGTCGCTTTTCTAGGAGAGGGGCCCTGATCCAGGGCTGAGAGATTCTTTCTGGACAAGTGAGAATAGGCCCTGGGGAGGGGCTTCTCAGGGGGCACCTCCCTCTGTGTCTTCCCTCTCTCCAGGTGGAGGCAGAACCAGGTCAGGCCCGGACTTGTAGCTCAGGAGATCAGGGGATAGGGGTTGGAGCCGGACACAGCCCTGAGGGGCTGGTGCCCATGGTGGCTATGTGTCCTGTCTTCTGCGGCCTGGTTCTATATACACCTACATGTTCCACCTCAGGGCAGACACCTCCTTGACCTGAATGCTGGGGGCAGCCTGAGGCAAGGAGGGAAATTCAAAGTCCTCAAAAGCTGGAGATTTAGGATAATTATGTCCTCCTCCCTTCCAGATATTTGCAGTTCCTTTTCCAAGGGGTGTCACCCCAAGCCATGTTTCTGTGGACCTCTGGATCCCTGCTCACTCTGTGGGCAGGGGATGGACAGATATATCATCTAGGAAACAGGATTCTAGTGAGGGTGACTTCTTGGGCCCTGGATGCCCCCTCCTCAGAGAGAGGCTGGGAGCCAATGGGAGTCTGACCACTTGGGCCTCCCCCTAACCCCCTAGGGAGGGAACAGTAATTGGTGTTAATTAGTGCATTTGGGCTGGGGAATGAGTAGAATGATCAGTGATTGGCAGAACCAAACTGTGTGTGCATGCGTGTGTGCTTGCGTGCGTGCGTGTGTGTCCTGGGTCCTGCTCCTGCCTTCAACCAGTTGAAATATTAAATATGCCAGCTGAAATATTAAATATGCCAGTTGAAATATTAAAACTAGAAGGAAACATCTCAACAGAGGTGGTCAAGATACTAGATATCTGGTTCCAGCCAGACTTCAATCAGCTGTGTCGTCTTGGTGGGCCTCTTTGGGCCTCGGTTTCCTGCTTGGAATAAATGAATCCTCAGGTCCCTTTTCTCTGAGCCCCTCCTGAAGTCTCTGTCTTCTGGTTGGTCAGCCTTCCTTCCTCTCTCATTATGGAACCTGAACCTGGTGGGATCTGGAGAGGGGAGTGGGTGATGCAGTGGTCTTAGAAAGGTGAGGACAAAGCAGGGGGTGACTGAGGAGTAGCTAAACTAGGTGAATATGGCTAAAAAAGTTGCAGGCAAGGGGTCAAGGACAGGGAGGCCAGGTGGAGTTGGAGGAGTGTGCCCCTGAAGTGGCGATGAGACCTGGCAAGGCTGGATGGGATGAGTGGTCAGAGGCCACTTGGATGGCGGGCCTCATGCCTGATTCCCAGAGCCTTCTAGGGGCTCAGTGTTAAGCTGCGAGGGTACAGAAGCCATCAGCCCTGGCTGTCTCCTCGCTCAGGAAGAGGAGGAGAGCAGGGGCTTCGGCTCATAGTGAGGAGGATGGGGAAGGGTGCTGGTTGTGCCAGGCCCCAGAGAGCTGGGGGCCATGATGGCTCGGAAATACTGCAGCTTTCTGTGGAGGTGGCTCGGGGGTCACACTCTCTTCTTCCCACATGGGGCTGCAGAAGCTGTGAGGTCCCAGGGGTGACCTTGAGGACCCAGGTCTCCGTGGACCTCTGGGGCAGCCCTAGGGCCATGGCAGGAGCTTCTCTGGTCAGAGCTGGAGCAGAGGTCATGACGCTCATGACCTGGGCTGTGTTTCCATGGCCTTTCCCTTCCCGTCCATAACTCTGGTGTTGTCGCAGCCTAGGATTGTCTGCAGGGGAGGTGCTGCCCCTCCAGGTAGGACACTGGATGGGAGAGGGCTCTGCCTGTGCCCTCGGGGTCCCACAGGAGGTTGTAGGCAGGGGCCAGGGAAGCCGTCTGCGGATCTCTGAAGCCCCAGCCCTTGAGGTTTCCTAGAGTGCTGATTGTTTCCTGTGCTCCCTGCCAGGCCTGGGAGGACAGGAAGTGATAGAGGGAAATGAAAGGGCAACTGTGTGTGACACTGGATGTGTGTGAGAGAGACGGAGTGGGACATTGTGTGTGGGTGAGTCTGTGTGGGGTGGGCGCGTGTGCGAGAGAACCAGGTAAAACCAGTTTGTGTGTGTGACTGCATGCGAGAAACTATGTGATGTTGTTTGTGACTGTAACATTGGTGTGTGAGAGAAACTGACATTCCCTGTGTGACTGATACTGTATGTACAGGAGAGAAACTGTATGAATGATGTTCTCAGTGTGGGATGGTGTGAGTGCCCTCACAGGGGATATGTTTATGTTTTGTTTTGTTTTTTGTTCATCCTCACCTGAGGATATTTTTCCAATGATTTTTAGATAGAGAGGGAGGGAGGGAGGGAGGGAGGGAGGAAGGGAGGGAGAGAGAGAGAAACATCAATGTGAGAGAGACACATGACTGGTTGCCTCCTGCATGACCCCGACCAAGGCTGGGGATCAAACTCGCAACCCAGGTACCTGCCTGTGACTGGAATCGAACTCGAGATCTTTTGGTCCATGGGCTGATGCTCTAACCACTGAGCACACGGGCCAGAGCGGGATATGTTTATGAAAGAACTGGCTGCTGGACCCTCTGTGAGCTCTGACGCTGGATGGGATTTTGAGCTGCACATGTGTGAGAGACACAGTGACTGCATGATGCTGTGTGTCAGCAGCAGAATGAGTAACATTCTGTGCGACACAGGCTGCTATGGAATGACTATGAGATGGTCTCAGGCTTGTAGAATCTCTGATGGCCTGTGTGTGTAACTGTATGAGAAAAACTGTTGGCGTGGGGGGTGTGCACGCGTGTGTGACACCATTGGGACACACGGTGTGCACCCGATCCAGTGTGAGTGTGCAGTAGGTGTGTAAGGAAACAGCCCTGGCAAGAAACTGCATGTGCGCTGCGTGTGGAGAAACGGGGTGTGACTGAGACTGCACTGCCTCTGTGGGTGGCCACTATCTGGGATTGTTTGGGACTGGAGGACAGTGTGGGCGACATCCAGGGCTGTGCCAGACATGGCATGGGACTGAGTGTGACAAATTTGGGGGCCTGGGATCCCAGTGCATGTGGAATCT